TCATATCCTTTTTAAATTTCTCAAAAATAATGTCTGGTCATTGAATAACGATGATTTGAAAATCGGCTAACACAAATTGTAAGCTGAAGGCAAATGCTTTTCGAAGATAACAGCTGACTTTAACAGCTGTTAGGCTTAACAGTGGACTGTTATTCAACATTTTGGGTACAGTACCTTAAAGTTTGGAGTTTTATTAAGATGTTAACATAAAAAAATTATAAATTTTCATACTTCGCAAAAATGACTAAATACCCGAAAAACGGCAAAATTCCCCATAGTGCACTGCAGCCAATGCGTGCGTACGTATGTCTGTGTGTGTGCGTGTATGTGTGCATATGCGAATAATTATTGAAATATCAGTTCTATTCAATTTACTAATTATAATAAAACAGAGAAATTCATAGAATTTTCAAAGAAAATTGCATAGTGTCTCAATAATAAGAACAAAATTTGCAATAGAAATGCTCAAAACAGAACTTTTGCACTATTTCGGCTTTGTGTCTCAATACATCGAGAGGTACTATGTTACTATGTAATTATATATTATTTAATATAAAATTCACAAGGAAATCAAAGTCAATGGAACAGTAAAATAGGATTCTCGTTTAAATGCTGTATAAGCCTTTGTATGTATTTTTAACACCCTACATTTATCTATAATCCCCAATAAATTTTCTATAAATATTTAAAAACTTTATGACCTATATATTGTTATATTATATATTATTATGATATCAATTGTATATTTGAATTCAAGTAATGATGAATATATTATACTATGTATTTTTATATCAATTAAAAATTTAAGTTCAAATAATTGCAGGATTAGCAGTCAAACCCTAAAAGCTATTTCATAAATAAATGGCTTCTTTGATTCCCCTAATCTGTTTTAGTGCAAGCATTAACATTTGTTTTCAACAACGGCTCGACAGCACTTCAAGAATTGAAAGCAAAACAACTAAGAAAGAGACAACGAGTGAGGAAGCGAGATAGAGAATGTCTAAGCCTGCCAAAAGTTGGCCAAGGCTTATCAATATGATGTGCCCTAAGTATGCGAATGCCAATGCGAATGCGTATGTCGGGTGGCTTATTTAGGGGCTTAAGCGTGGGCACTGGTAAAAGGCCAACTAAGCCAAACGATTGAAAGACTTTGATAACAAAATGGACAACTCTGTTGACCAAGTTAAGAGCGCGTGGGATTTGCCAAAGGCCTTCCGAAAACACACAATAGCTCCCATGGAACAAAAACTACAAACTATGGAAATAAAAAAAGTCGGCGATGTTGGATGGACAAGCAAGTAGACTTTTCGATATCGATAAGGCAAACAATGACAAATGAGATAGAGCCAATGAAATAGAAAAAAAAAATATCGCGCTAAATCTGCGTTTAAATTAAGATTGAGTAAACCAAGTACATGACAAAGGTATAAGATTAAAATGTTAAACATAATCTATTTATAACTTCTTTTCTGTCTAAGTTATGTACTCAGAGAGAAAGAGAAAAAGATTTGCAGCAGATACAAATGTTATTAGAATAGAGGGATTAAAGAAATTGATGGCATTGATGAGTTATGATAATGAGTTAAGTGATGAGAAATAGAGATAGATGGCATGAAAATTGTGTTATAAAGTTGAATGTTGTTAGTTAGATAACTTGGATAATTCCAATTCATGAATTAGATGGCTGAGTTATGAATAAACACGAGATTTGCATTGTGAAAACTTAACTTTGAGTAAGTAAGCAGGTCATGATAATAATAATAACAAGATTAGCAAGACTAGTAGTAATAATAATGTAACAATATATCAACAATTTATATGGCCACAAATTTCATGAACCAAAGTGTGCTTGCTAAGCTCTAATTACAGAAGTATCTCTCGTCATTTGTCTCACTCCTTATATACCATGATAACAGAGTAGTTGGACAACAAGTGTTTCATTAACATTTTAACAATGTTTTAAAAATGTAAACATTGATAGTTATTAAATTCCCAATATGTTTTAAAAACCATCTTATTAAGCCGAACCAATTTTATGAAGAAATCTATTATTAAAGAGATCAATGTTCTTCGATTTTCGAACTTTCCTATGAGCTCATCCAACATTAAACGGTAAACGTGAGAGGTAACTCTTGGTAAATTCCAATGTTATTAATTAATGAATTAATTCATCAATTAATTAATGATTTCCACTATATATAAAACACATTTCAAATAATAACTTTTAAGAAATCTACTCGTTCCTTAATACTCTTGTTTTGAATATTGCTTTTGACAACGTCAAACCTATTTATCTACATAGATATCCAATACCAGGTATACTCTCATACATCTTCATTATACGTTCGTAACAAATATGAAATATAAATAGATATAAGCTTGTAAGTAAAAAGTGAATACTGCATTTCAAATACAAAGTCTTTCTTATAGAATGTTTTAGCATGAATCTCATTGTTTCCTAATGTAATATTAAATATATTTATATAATTAACTAACAAAATATACTTTATGCTTTACACAACTTTCCCGATAATAGCATTTGACAGCGTGAATCTATTTATCTCGATATAAATCAAATTGCATAAACATGCTTTCATAGATTTTCATTTCCTTTTCATAATCAATGGGATGCCGTGCCGAAACCCCTCGTCGATTTATCACAGCTCAGTTTAATTTCCCAACTGCCTTGACATACTTATTTATAAATTAAATAGGTCCCATTCCCCCACAAGAGTTAAAACAGCCATTGAGGACGACGCATCCGCCCCCACTCACGCCCGCCACGCCACAGTCAAAGGATGCAGGAGCTGACCCTAGTCAAGAAAACCCGATTGCAGCCCTTGATCCGTGTTTCCTTGATTCCGGCAGGACGAACAACAAAATGCATCCATATGTGAGAGCCAAATCAAACTCAATTTCAACAAGTAAGAACGTTGCAGTCGGACGTTACCGACTGCGGAATACTCATTCACATCCCATCAACAATTTAGTAGTTAAGTTTCGCTCTAATACTGTAGAATATACAGGTTTTTCCGATTTGCCACGCCCCAACTGGGCGTAGACACCTCATTTTTGGTCAGTTTTTAGAAAGAGATAACGGTACCCTAACTGCAAAGTTTGAATGCTTACCCTCAAGAAATGTGAAAATTACAGGGTATTTTTCGATATGCCACGCCCCTAAAGAGACGTAAAAATTATTTTTGGGGAATCGATAGGGAAGGCTACCAGTAACTCAACTATCCAAATTTGAAGCTTCTAGCTATTATACTTTAGGAGATATAAACTTTTGCGGTTTGCCACGCCCCCTGTGGGCGGACATATATCCGACAAAACTTTTTGGTCTTGGGTGATCAGTCCGAGTATATATACAAAATTTGAGGTCTCTGCCATCAATAGTGTCCAAAATATAGGACAATTTAAAAAATCACTATATCTTCAGGTCCGATTTGCCACGCCCCCAATGGGCGTAGACTTATAATTTATCTTTAGACTTTATAGAATCATACCATTAGCTGACGTGCAAAATTTCAGCATTCTAGGTTTACAACTTTAAGAGATACAGTTTTATCCGATTTGCCACGCCCCCAATGGGCGTAGATATATCCGCCATAGCTCGTGATCTTGGGTGGTCAACGCGGACCTACATACCAAATTTCAGCTTTCTAGCTCTTCAACAAACATGATTTCTGGTATATCGGAAAATGCATTTTCCGATTTGCCACGCCCCTAGTGGGCGGATCGGGAAAATTTTAACACTTTATAAATCGGAGATATACACGAGTATGTGTTCCAAATTTCAAGTCTCTAGCTTCAATAGCGCCGAAATAGATTGCGTTCATACGGACAGACGGACAGACGGACAGACGGACGGACGGACAGACGGACAGACGGACAGACGGACGGACAGCAAGACGGACATTGCACAAAACCAATATACTAATTCACTTTCGTGAATGAGTATAAAAATTGCCAAAAATGCGAACTAAAGAAAAGTACAGAGCAACCCCCCGAGCACTCTGCCCTTGTTCCCTTATTCCCCTTAACCCTTACCACTCACCCCTCACCCCTCACCATTCACACAGCAAATGAAAAGTAATTTTTCGCAAAGGGAGGAAATGAGCAGGAGAAATGCTCACAGAGCTTATTGATTCCGGTTTCGATTAGAGGCGGAAAGGAGCACAGAGGAGCAGGGAGCGGAGCAAGGATTACGGCTTAGGCTCGGAACGAAGCAATTTCAATAAGGAAATTCTTAGTTTTGACAGCCGCCCAACTAATGAGACAGCTAAAAGAAAGGGCATGCAAAATTTTAATTTAAAAAAAAAAAAAAAAAAAAAAAAAAAAAAACAAAGAAAACAAATAAAGGGCGCTAACAAAACGCTCTTACAAACTTTGCCAGCTGATAAAAAATAGTTGAAGGCGACAGTTTAGTTTTCTAGAGTTTTTTTCCAGCTGGGTGAAGGGGCAGCGCTTGAGCTTGGAGGGGTGGGTGGGGGCAATTAACTAGCCGCACATTAAATGATAACAAAAAAGGGGCGGTGTATGGGGCGTGTAGGTGCTGTTGCTGTACGTGCAATAAAGTTTGGACAAAAGAAGACAACAACAAAAACAAAAACAAAGTTCCAAAAGGCATCGCAATTTGGGTCAAGCCAAAAGGATAATGCGGTTCGCGGCTAACAGAAGATAAACAACAAAAGAGAGAACGACGAATGCGTGATACCCTGCAATAGCCAAATAGCTGCAGTAGTGTGTGTTGAGTCACTTTCAAACTTTTACTCAGTGACTCTCAAACTATATTATCCAGCTGCCCACAAACGTGATCTAAAGAGACCTGTAATAGAAGAGTGACTGTAAAACTTTAAAAGTCAGTGCGCCTCAAACAGTCACTCTTCTCAAATTGTTTAAAATGCTTGCATGACTCTAAAACTGTAATGGTCGAATTTACTTCAATAAGCTGCAGGTAAATCTTAATGCTAATCTTATCTTTAATTTGTTTTTCTTACCGGCATAGATTAACTCCACTTCCAAGTATGTTTAATGTTATCAAATTTCAGTATTAACGCCTTTTAATGGGCATGGTCAGTGTATGTCTTATCAGTTTCCAATTGGAGCACTTTGCAAAACAGAAAACAGAATATAATGTTATTTCACTATTGAAACTGTGCATAAAACACTCGCACACACACACACACAAACATGCATATACATATACATATAAAAACCGCTAAGTCACAAAACTTTGCTTGTTGCTGCTGCTTCTGCTGCAGTTTTTGGTTATTGTGGTTAACGGTCTGTGGACGAGTGGGGTGAGGGGGATTAACAGTGCAACATAGGACAGAGTCCAATTAGAATGCGCTGTTGCTTCAACTTTCCGACTGACGCGCGCTGTTGAATTGTTGTTGGTATTGGTGTTGTTGTTGTTATTATTATTGGTGTTGTTGTTGTTATTATTATTATTGTTGTTGTTGTTACTAAAACATATAAACTGGCTAGTGTTCAGGCCCGCCTACGCAGTCGCTGGACCCGTTCGGCGACAACAGCAACAACAGCCGCAGCCCCGGCAGCAGCAACGCCAACAACAACAACAGTTAGGCAACACATGTTAGGCTGCGCTGCTGACGCTGACGCCGGCGTTGACTGAGCATAGCAATATAATTGTTTAAATTCACAATTAGAGTCGAAAATTACGAGCGAATCGATTTTTTTTTTCAGAAACAGAAACACACGCACACACAAACACGCTCACTATCGCAAACACATACACGCGCGTGTGTGTGCGTAAAAACAAGTGAAAAACGCCGACTTCGACGGTTGAGGCAGTGATCTATATAACGCTGTTTAGACAAACGCTACACGTTTGTTTTAACGTTTGTCACTTAAAGTCATTGGAAACTAACTTTCCCACTGGAATTTGCGTTAAATATTTCGCACTTTTCACACAATTTGCGCTTTGCGTGCAGCGCGACGCGTTTTTTTTTTTTTTTTTTCGTTTTTACGCTTATGTTGATTTAACAGTAACTCAACTCGAAATGGCACTGTTAAAACACTCAAATGGTCACGTTAACTTCGAGGACCAGGGCTGCAGCATTAAGCAGCTGCTACCAAAAAAATTATTTAAATAAATCTAGTCGTTCTATTATTTACTTTTTTATTTGTTTATATGCAGTTGATAGGCTTTCATTAAATTCGTTTGCTGCAACAGCTACTTTCTTTCTTAGTCGACAGTGCGGCTTTTCGTTTGACAATGCATTAGATTTGATTTTGATTTCATGTATGTAAATATTGAATTAAATGTATTTTAATGACTTCATTTATGAATTGTAAGTAATTCTATTTTATTTACGTTCTGTTTGTTGAATTTTAAAGTTGCCTGCCTTTAAGTTAAAGCTTTTTAAGCCACTTTGTTTTCATTGGCGAGAAATCGATTTTTTTTTTATTTTCCGCTCACTGCACAAAAACCGTTTTAATTTTTATTTTTTATAGTATATTCTGTGCGTTAGTTAACGCATTTTAATGAACTCTGTCATGCAATTAAGTGCAGCATTTAATTTGCTTTAATTACACTTGCATTCTCGCGTTGCTTTTAGTCTATTATAAATTTTAAGCAAACTCTCAGCCGTTGCAGTCACGAGGAAGCGCACGCTGTCAACTGAACTAAATTCCTTTATAAAGGATATTGCCCAAATGGCTATGCCCCTAAAATATATATGTAAAATATTCTCATACACGTACACTCACACACATGCACAGATGGGGTGGCTGTGCGCCCGCCTTTTGAAGTGGACATGCGCAGAGAGTTAGCTAGATTCAAATAAGCGCGCCCAATTGGATATAGCAGTACATTCATTCTAATTGGAGCGTTGGTGCTGTTGGTGGAGTTGCGATAGCTAAATACCCAACTGGAATCCAAAACAATTTTAAATCTAGTTGCTAGCTGGTCAAGATTAAATTCTACTGTTGTTAAGAGAATAATTAGAGTTTCATTCTATGATCTCAACTGTTTTCTTTCTAGCGGTAGCTTCTTGGATAACATTTGCAGTATTGCACATAGTCTTCTAATTGGAAGTAGAATTTTGGGCGGGATTCGCAGCCTGCGCTAGTTGACGTCTATGGCTGGACTCTGTGTTGAGTGGGCTGCATTCTAATACGAAAAGATCTGACTGGATTGCGGCTGTTCCACAGGCAAAATGCTCGCACTGTCATCGCTGGCCAGGATTAGCTGCTGCTGCTCGGGCTTCATGATGTGGCTGTAAATGCTCTCTATGGCGGGTATGACAGATGTGCAGGCGGAGCTCGCTGCCACAGCTGCTACGGGATTGGCTGCTTCTCCGACTGCGGCGGCTGCCTTCTTTGGCTTCTTGCCGAAGGCAAAGTTCCCGCTCTGCTTGGTGGCCACCGGCGACAGATTGTCCTTGTTCTTGGTGCTGCAGTTAAAGAGAAGAAATATATGTAGAGTGGAATCCTAGCCAATTCCTTAGCTGCACTCACAAAGCTTTAAGCGCCTCCAGTTTGGGTATGTTTCGATTGTAGGTTTTGCCTCCGCCCGCCGCCTCCTGCGCAGCCAGCTCCTCGGGATGCGATTTCTTCTTGTGCGTGCGATAGTTGGAGCCGTTGGCGAACGTCCGCTCGCAGAAGTCGCAGGAGTAGGGCTTCAGCCCCGAGTGCAGGATGAGATGATTCTTGAGCGCCTTCGCGCGCTTGAACTCCCTGCCGCAGTAGTCACATTTGTGCTGCATCTGGTCCGAGTGGACCAGCCGATGGCGATTGAGCGTGGGCCGGGAGTTCAGCTGCATGCCGCACTCCGGGCAGATGTACTTGTGCGGATCGTGCGTCTCCTTGTGGTGCTTCAGCCGGCTCATGCTCTTGAAGCACTTCTTGCACACGTCGCACTCGAAGGGCGCGTAGTCCGTGTGGCTGAGCAGATGCTCCTTCAGGGCGTGCAGCGAATGCACCGCGATTCCGCACTGCTCACAGATCACCGGACGTGGGCGCTGCTCCTCCTGGTGGGCGTACTGCGCATGCGATTGGGCTGAGGCATTCGTTGTGAACTGCTTGCTGCAGATGGGGCAGGGAAAACGCTTCCTCTGGGGCATGGGCAGGTGCTGTTGCTGGTGCCTCTGCAACTGGTAACGGGAGCGGAAGCCCTTCTGGCACTGCTCGCAGTAAAGTTTGTCGCCTGGCGGATCTCCTGCTGCCACTTCCGTCTCCGCTCCCGCTGCTTCTGCCCCTGCTTGGCTATGATCCTGCCGCATGTGCCGCAGCAGCGTCTGGGGAAGTGCATAAATCCGTGGGCATTCGCTGCATGGAAAGGATTTCCCTCTCCGCGCTTTGACTTCTTTGGGCTGGGTGGGGCAGGGGTTGGTGTCCAATGAGTTCAAGCTGTCTGCCTCAGCGCAAAGATTCAACAGAATATCCTCCTCCTTTTGCTGTTCATCAGGTAGCTCGTTATTATCAGCAGTTGAAACTGCGTCTGGTTCTATTTCTCCTTCGTCTTCTACCCCATGCTCCTCCTCCTCCTCCTCATGCTCATCGTCATCGTCAACTGCTTCTGCTGCCGCTGGAACTTCTACCTCATCAATCTTGCTGTCCACATTCTGCCCGCTTGGCGTGAGCGGGTTTTCCAACTCTAGCGCCACTTCATCTAGCTCATTTAGCTTGGGCTTTTCCTCCACGTAGTGCACCTCAGTTACCGTCCGCACCTCCTGATCCGCCTCCTCCTGTAGTCCGAATCGTCGGCGCAGCTCCTGTATATTGACGGCTTCCTTTGGCCTGCTCTGCAATATACAGTAGAGCTTCTGCACGCGTGTGATGCGATCCGAGAAGTTCACCAGCGAGGTGACCAACGACAGGCACTCTCTGCAGATCGTCTCTGGCAGCTCCTCCCCACGAGTCATCTACAAATATATTTATTTAATATATATTTATGGAATCTGCATCCAGCAAACAGCCGCTCACATTGACCCAGAAGTATTTGCCGATAGCAGTGGCCAATGCCATGTCGCTGACAGCATCATTAGCTGCACTCAGCCTTTGTTCACTCTTTAAAAATACATTTATATTTCCTTGGAGGTCCTCCTTGGCGCACAGGCGACACCAAAGCAACCAATCATTCGATTCTGTGACAGACATTTGCAAAACTTTATTAATTTTAAGACTACATTAGCGGACGCTTAACGACTTTATTAACATTTTAAAACAATTATAATCAATTTTGTAATTGGGAAACTGCCAGCAATATATGTTTTTGCGATTGTTGTTTTTTTAACAGCTGTTGCAGCAAACTTCGCTTGTCCAATGTGGCGGCTGTCGATAGGAAAATCGACTGGTGAATTGTTGAAAAACTAACAAAACTGCAAAACCGAAACATTTTATTTGTACGCATAATTTTAAAATGGAAATATCATTTACTTAAGCTGTTTTATGATTATTATTTATTTAATTATTCCGTCTATCACGTTAAAATTTAAGCATAGACTGAAGTGGCTGTCGATATACAAAACATAGAGTCGATATACATGAAAAAACGTTAAGTCTATTATTTATATTTCGTATTTTATATGGGATATAATAATAATCATTACAGACTTGTTTTCATTTGTAGCAGTGATTGTTCTCATTTCATTCAGTATATAACAGTTTTATTCAATCAGATCCTTCACATACTTGAAACATAGAAAGTCGCGGCAGTCGATAACTTTTACTATCGCCCTTCGAAGCTGTTGACAAATAAGTTGTCAAATAAATAATATATTTATGTAGAATGAATTATATACATATACTAAAATACTTATTTTTTTCCTGAAGGAAATAAGTTACACAAGTGGCTTTTATTTATTTTAATAAAAATTTCGCTAACATTCATTGAACTACTATAACTTTTACAGGGCATTTCATAGCCCACATGAAAAAGCATTTCCTATTTGTATCTATTATATGGGCTTTGAATTTCCTCACGAAAAGCTGTAAACATGTTCGAGGCACGGCTCTCCAGCACTTTAACATTAAAGAAGATTGTAGATGCGCTCAGGGATATACTGAACCAGAGCACATTGGACTGCAGCGATACAGGAATACAGGTGAGTCGCTGCCTTTGAAAAGGTAAACAATTACAGAATTACAGAATTATCGTGCAGTTGCAAGCCATGGACAATTCGCACGTGTCGCTGGTTTGCCTGTGCCTGCGCAGTGATTACTTTGAGAAATATAAATGCAGTCGAAACGTTTCCCTTGGGCTGGATCTCAAATCCCTGACGAAGGTGCTGAAGTGCGCCAATGGAGATGATGCAGTCACCATCAAGGCTGCGGACAAGGCGGACAAAATCGAGCTCAGCTTCGAGTCGGTGGGCAAGGAGCGTACGGCCGACTACGAGCTGCGTCTACTCAATCTGGACCAGGAGCACCTAGCCATACCCGAAACAGAGTACAGCTGCGTTATCCATATGCCAGCCGCAGAGTTCGCCCGGATCTGCCGCGACTTGGCCGTGTTTAGCGAGTCGGTGGTCATCGCCTGCTCTAAGAACGGCATTAAGTTCTCTGCTAACGGGGAGATGGGATCTGCGAACATAAAGCTAAGCGAGACTAGCAAAGGAGAGGTTACCTTACAGGTGGATGAGCCCGTAACGCTCTCATTTGCCGGTCGGTATTTGAACACGTTTACACGTGCCACGCCCCTGGCGGAAAAAGTGAAGATCGGCATGGCAGCCGATGTTCCGTTACTTGTGGAATACCCTATCGAAGATTATGGCTATATACGCTACTATTTAGCGCCCAAAGTAGACGATCCAGACAGTTGAGTGCAATAAACTAGATAATGTGCAATAATTTTATAATTTACACATATATGTAGTATGTATATATATATTTTGTTGTTTTGTGTTGTATATCAATTTTAATTTTTTGTTATATATAGTTAAAATGTAATTAGTCGTATAGTTTTTTTTTGCACTGCTGTAATAAATTTGCTCTTTTCCTCTTTTAAACACCCCCATACTATTCATTAATTTAAAATTTTTATTTTACATATTTGAATCACGAAATAAATATTAATTTGCGATATTTTTCAAAGTTGATCATATTTACTCATCTCTACTATACTATCGATTGATAGCTATTAGTTGTGGCGGCTGGCGATTAATGGAACAACAGCTGTTTTGTAAAATTCGGCCCGCAAAGTCGGCACAAAATTTTTAATCAATACGTTAGGTAATAAAGCTAAATTAAATAATGTTAAAATATCTAACGCAGCCGCTGCGGAGAACGACGGAAATTGCAAGGCGTTCGTTCTGCAATAGTAAACTGAGCGGCAGCAGCGCAAAAGTAACAGCGGCGACAACAACAACAACGCCAACTGTGGGCCCTTTGATTGAGGTTCGTGAGGCGCTCGACGGATGGAGCGACAAATTAAAGGAGGCGGGCGTCAGTGACATTGACTTTAATCTAAAATGCATTGTCTCACATGTGCTGCAGCGAAAATTTGTAAGCTATACACTGTGTACCTAAAAAAAACACCGTTTGAATGAAAGCCCTTTGCGCACCTAGAATACCGTGCCGGATGACTTTGCCCAGCTGAAGTTCAACTCGGAGCAGCTAGCTGACTTTGAGCGCTTCCTCGAAGCGCGTTGCGCTCGCATGCCGCTGCAGCACATTATCGGCGAATGGGATTTTATGGACATAACACTGAAGACGGCACCCACTGTCTTCATACCACGCCCAGAAACGGAGGAGTTTATCCGCTTGGTTATTGAAAACTATCGCAAGGTCGAGCATGTGAATATGCTCGAAGTCGGTTGCGGCTCTGGAGCCATGTCGCTGTCCATGCTTCACGCTTTGCCTCAAGTAGACGCGACGGCCATTGAGCGCAGCAAGGCCGCAACAAAGCTGGCCTGGGAGAATGCCAAGCTGCTCGGGCTCCATCAGCGCTTCAAGGTCTTCAATCACACCATGGAAACGGACAACTACTTGCCCACTGAGCTGCAGGACAAGCAATACGATCTGATCATCTCCAATCCTCCCTATGTGAAAACCGAGGAGTTTCAGTTTTTGCATCCCGAAGTTGTTGTGTAAGTTGGGATAGCATTCCTAATCAAGTCGATACAGTAATTTATAGGATAAATTGATTGAAAGGGGATAAAGCTTAAAAAGCTCTTGAAAATTCGATTCGTTGAAAAATTGTTCTTTTTATAGAAAATTATGATATAATTTTAATTTGAACTATCTGTCCAATTTAAGGATTGTTTGATGTTCGGATTTATGGTTTATTAGCTTTTATTATTTCTACAAATCTTACTATCCGTTGGAAAATTTAAGAAGTTTGGATAGATAAATTACAAGATGAAGAAATAATCCTAAGACCTTTGCATCTAACTTGAATTTTAAAGAAGAAAACACACGTACATCTTAGAGAACTTAGAGATGGAGTAATAATGAGGGAGTTTTTAGTTCTGACTTAATATTAAAAAAAAAAAAAAAAACTGAATCATGAATTATAACTGAGAAATATATATCTCAATAATCATTTGTAATATTTTAATAGATATATTTACATATTATTATTATTTATTATTTAATATTTTCACTAGTTAAGTTTTTTAATTACTATTATTTATTTTATTTTACTGTGCTTTAATACCCTTGAACATTTATTTATTTGGAATTTACTCCATTAAAGAATTGTGTTGATATACATTTAATCTCGTCCTAATCTTTCACAGGTACGAGAACCTAAACGCTTTAGATGGCGGCTCGGATGGACTGCGCGTGGCTCGTTTGGTCTTCGAGCTGGCCTGCCGGCATTTGCGACCTGGAGGCCAGCTGTGGCTGGAGCTGGGCAACGATCATCCGCCTCTGGTGAAAACCATCATGAATATGCAGTATCAAGGTCGCTTGAATTTTGTGCAGAGCTACGAGGATCAGTATAAGCGCGAGCGCTTCGTCCAATTGGAGAGAGTCTAGGGCTCCAGCACTCGGACACAACATTTAATTAATTGAACCTGATTAATGCAATTAGAATTAGTCGCAAATGCATTTATCTGTGATGTGACCTACATAGACACCCAAAATACCAATTACCTGAGAGGCTATCACATATGTATACACACATGCATATATATACTTATGAATATATATAGAAAATATGTTTATATTACGGATTGCATTAAGTATTTCGCTTATTACCATCGGGAGCTAGATGGTGTATATATGTAGGTGTCAAGATATTAATAAAACGTCCTCTTCATTCAAATGCCAAAACAGAAGTGAGTCTTTATTTCTAAGTTTTTTTGGTTTCTTTGTTTCGTATCTTCTTACAAAGAGTACAATGCTTATGTGTAGGTATTTTATAATTGTGTGTGTGTTTGAGTGTTTTTGTGTGTGCTTATGTGTGTACAAAAGAATTATTGAATATGTGTTTGTGTGTGTTTGAGTGTTTTTGTGTGTGCTTATGTGTGTACAAAGAATTATTGAATATGTGTTTGTGTGTGTTGTTGGGTTGGTAACTCCTCCCTCCCCAAATGAAGCAAATGATTAAAAACAGGGTGTCCAGGTGGATACCACTGATTTGTTATGTGGATTGAGCATACTCAAAGGGATGTGAGACCAACACAACACAAAAAATAAAAGATAAAAGTATAATATAAAATGTCATCTTTTGTTTATACTATGCTTAAGTACTATGAATAGTATACATTAAAATTAAAAATTATACTGCCTATTATTATGTTGTTCGCCTTATTTTAGATTTATGTATTTTTTGTGGGTGTGTAGTGATAATTGTGTTGCCATTATCTTGTAAAACTTTATGTTTGGAGAATCTTGGTGTTAGCTTATTTCTACGATTCTCCCTTCTAAATATGGTATCATTATTGGATACAAGTGTTGCAGATTTTCTAGCAACATTAAGTTTATCCAAATTGTGTTTGGTATTTTTATGTAACATTTCTTTTACCTCTTGGTATAATTTTGATCGGAAGAAATTTAATTTTTTGCAAATATTCGTGATTATTGTCGTATTTAATAGTTTGTTCAAAAATATGAGTGGTCCAGTGAAAAGTTCGAAAGGTGTGAGTTTTGTAGATGAATGTATAGCGTTATTGTAGGTTAGAAGTGTTTCAGAAAGAGTTTCTTCGTGTTTATTTGTCTGCTTGTATTTTTTTTAGTTCGGTGATTATTCTATAAATTTCGGTAAGTGTTGAATGTAGTCGTTCTACCGGGGAGTTGCTGGATGACTGTTGGAAGGGATGTTACATGACATTGGATGTCATATTGATTGCAAAAGTCTTTAAATATACTGCCGGAAAACTCTGCACCTTGGTCATAGATTAGTTTTTAGGTATTCCAAAAAGACTAAAAAAATGTTTCATGGAAGTGACGACGTTTATGCAGGTCCTGTTGGGTATAGGGTAGGCACATGCGAATTTTGAAAACTTATCTATTAGTGTAAGGTTATAGTTTTTGTTTATCGTGTATATATCTATATGAATTATTTCCATTGGTTTGCAAGGAGTTTGTGGTACTTGAAAAGGTGGTTTTTGTGGCTGTCTATCATATTTAAGTGTGAGGCAAATTTCACAACTCTTTATTATCTGTGCTATTTTACTTTTCATATATGGAAAGTAAACTTTTCTTTTAAGATGCATTAGTGTTTCATCAATACCTCGGTGATTGTTATTATTGTGATAATCATTGACAATTTTTTCTTGGTCAGTAGTATTAGTAATATCATTTAGGAAAGTTGTACACCTAAACAATTTGAAAAGTTTATTGTGAGAAAACTCTTTAGAAAACACATCTTGCACTATCTTAAAAATGTTGTCTGATGTGTAAATTGTGCATATCCTGTTTGGTTTTAATGTTTTCTTTAAGATGTCCAGTACAATATCTGTGGTAAAGCTGGGTTCGGTGATTGTTTGCCTTAATTTATTTTTAAAGGGAGTAGAAACCTTACAAGAAGCAGGAATGCCCTCAGTTAAAACAATCTGCAAGTTAAAGTCGTTAAGTGGTTTTTCAATAGTTGGGATGTTGGTTGAAAGGTTATTAGAAATTTCTGCGTCTATATGGTTTACGCTAATGTCTGTTTCGGAACGGATACGACTAAGTGCATCTGCAACCACGTTTTGAGAGCCTTTTTTGTATTGAAATTCAAACTCGTATTCCAATAACTGCAATTTCCAACGGGCAACTTTATCGTTGGTGGAAAATGGCCCTGTGTTCCATGTTAATGGCTTATGATCCGAGACTAAGATAAATTTTTTTCCGAATAAGTAAGGCCTAAAGTGTTTTACTGCCCAGTAAACTGCAAGCATTTCTTTTTCTGTCGTAGAATAACGTGTTTCTTCATCAGATAATGTACGACTTGCATAAGAAATAGGTTTGTCATTTCCAGCTAATTTTTGTGATAAAACAGCGCCAATGGCATAATTGCTTGCATCAGTGGTTAATATAAAAGGTTTGTTGAAATTTGGGTAAACCAATATTGGATTGTTGCAAAGTAATGTCTTACAAAACTCAAAGGCTTTACAGTATTCTTCATCAATGGTTACCGCTTTTGTGCCTTTTAATTGCTGTGTTAGGGGCTTTGTTATGCGTGCAAAGTCCCTAATGAATTTTCGATAATACCCAAGGAGCCCTAGAAATGATTTAATTTGTTTCCTGGTTTTTGGGATGGGGAACTCCTGAATGGCTTTTATTTTGTTGGGATTAGGTTTAACACCATCTTGAGTCACTATGTGGCCTAGGAAATTAACCTCTTTTCGAAGGAAGTCAGATTTTGCAATTTGTAATTTAAAGTTAGCGGATCTGAGCCTATCAAAAACTTGTTTAATGTCAGTCAGATGTTTTTGCAGAGATGTCGAAAAAATTATAATATCGTCCAAGTAAACCAGACAGATGGAACCTACAAGATCTCTAAGGATATGGTCCATTACTCTTTGAAACGTTGCAGGAGCGTTCTTCAACCCGAACGGCATACGGACGAACTCAAAGTGACCACTTTCTACTGTAAAGGCTGTTTTATATCTGTCCGCTTGGTTCATTTCAATCTGGTGAAATCCACTGGCTAAATCGAGCGTTGAGAAGTAGGTGGATTTACCGAGTTGATCTAGAATATCGTTTATATTCGGAATGGGGTAGCGGTCTGAAGTTGTTTTTTTCGTTGAGTTTACGATAATCTAAAACTAGCCTCCATTTTCGTTTTTCATTTGGGCCTTTTTTTTGGAACTACCCAAACTGGGGCACTCCAAGGTGAATAGCTGGTTGTAATTATATTTTTGTTTCAGCATTGACTCTATTTGGTTTTTACTTCCTCTTTTAAGGCGAAAGGATAGCGATAGGATTTGACAAAGATTGGCGTATTATCAGTTGTGTGTATATAGTGTTTAATGTCATTGGTGAACGTTAACTTTTGACTATCGTCATAGAAAATGTCTATGTATTTACTACAAAGTTGTGTTAGCGCGATTTTCTCTTCGGAGTTAAGGTGGTCGGTTCTTAATGTGGTGATTGGTTTGTGGATATGTTGAGGATTTTGATTATCTGAGGCTATATTGTATATTTCAACAAATTGATTTTGATTATAGGGGGTGGTTTTTAATGGCTGTTCCAAATATAGTGGCTGATCTTCGTGGGACTTGTTTGTAATTAACATATTGCTATATCCGTTAGCTGATTTGTATAGTCCTTCTGATATATTCAAGTTTTTGTTATAAATTGTTTCTTGACTGTAAAAATCACCTTGCTTCAACTGGACTGGAAGATTTATTAAGACTTTTGATAGAGCGGGTATAACATGTACTTCGGTTACTGGATTGTCTTGTATACAAATTTTTAAACATGATTTTGGAGTTTCAAGACAAAAACAGGCTAGATTAATATTGGCTTTTAATTTTCTTAGAATATCCATTCCAAACAGGCCTTTAAAATGTGGATGAAAGTCGAAAAGAAGAAACTCCAAAATCATTTCTTCTTTAAACTCTGTAAGCGATTGAATAATGGTTTTTTCTCTAATGACATGTTGATTTAAGACAGTCTGGATAGTTACAGGATTATTGAGAGTTTTGCGATCGACATTGGAAACTAAAGTTGGGCTTATAAATGAATTTGTGGAACCTGTATCTATTAAAAATTTGATGGGTTGGTTTGTGATGGAATTAATCCATATGAATGGTAGTGTTGAGCCATGTGTTCTTTTTGTTAAGTACCCTGTTGAGTCTTGGAGGCAGTTTTGAAAAAATTTTCTGCGTCGTTGATATTGCAAAGTTCAGTTGATGATTGTTGTTCATTAATATTATGTAATTGATTGTTGGGGGTGATTGTTGAGTTGAAAGGATTTAGAGTTGAATTTCTATTATTATTGTGATAGTTAGGCTGAGTGATGGCTGCAGAATTTCTATATGAATTGCTTCTATTGTTATACTGTGGGTTATTGTTAGGATGATTTTTTATATTTTGGGGGCGTGAATATGGTGTTATTTGTGCTCTAATTTTCTGAGTGTTATTTGGTTTTTGAGAATAGAAGGTCTTTTCTATACGGCAATATTCGTAGGCTTCGTTAATATCTTGCGGATTTTTTTGATTTTACTGAAGTTTTAAGAGGTTCTCGCAAGTGGATTAAAAATGTATTCAAGCAAATTTCGTCATAGAGTTTAGCTTTGTCGGTCGAGTATTGATTTGCGTTTCGTAATTTGTCTGTTAATTGAGATCTTATTTTCAAAATACCATAAAAAAGTTGACCCTAAAGATAAGTTATCAGAAATGTTTTGCAAATCGTGAATAAGCATAGCTTCACTTTTTTTTGTTACCATAATGTTGAATCAGATTAGCCTTAATGTCATTCCAGATGAGTCCAGTGTCGCACAGTTTTAACGCGTCATTAGCTCTTCCTATGACTTTATTCCTGATAGCTCTTAGTAGAAGGGAGCTGTACGGTGTCTGGTCGATTCCTTGCATAGATGTGATCACTTCTTCCACATTAACGATGAAGTCTTGCAGTTGATTAGGGGTTCCGTCAAAGGTAGGTACTTCCTTGATGAAAGCGAGGATGTCGGTTGGGGTTACAGTTGTTGGAGTGTTATCCATGCTAATTGTTGAAGGTGTACCGTTTGAAGTCGATATAGTAGACGGAAGTGATACCGAGGCGTTGCCGGAGTCCAT